TACAAATATTTCATTTTACCTTATTACTACGAAGATTATTATAGAATTTCATTAATTGTAATAGAATTATTACTATCATTGAAAAACGTGACGATTTGCTACAAAATTTCTCCCATACGTCGATAAAGAAGTTTCATTCCAACGCCGATAAAGAAGTTTGACTTCAAAAAGCAACATGGCGCGTAACCGAAAAATGTGACGCGTAACGAAAAAATGTTACACTAAATTTTTTTCCAACCTCGATAAAGAAGTTTCACTTCAAAAAACTAGTCACAGGATGCGACAATGGCAAGCCAATGAAAATAACCGTTCCCTCATTTGCTTGCTGTTAGAAGTTCTAATTAATTCTAAGTTCTGTTTGCTGTTCTATATATACTTGGCAAGCTGATGTATAAAACAGTATTTATGCTTAACCTTCAAGCGGGCGCGCGTAGTCGAATCGACCGCGCTAAGTACATTTTCGTTCATATTATTATTATTACCCATCACGTTTATTTCTCATTTATAGTAGCCTGTCGCTATGTCATTGGGAGTAAAATAAAGAATAAACCGTTACTCGGGACGCTCCCCCCACTCCATAGATCGCAATTGTTTTCGTCCCAGTGCAGTCGTCGAAAAGACTACACGCGCCTGTCGTCGAAAAGGTTACGCGCGACGCTCAACGACACATACCCTCGTTCACGCTCGTAGTAGTTTTTTGGCCATCATTCAATAATATCGAATTAAGCTTGGATTTTTTAAATAAAATGATTCAGACGGTTACCACAAAGTGCAATACTCGAGGAATTACTAAGAGAAGACGAAGAAGAAAGTGAATCAGAGCTCGGCGACCAAGGCTCTGAAACTTCTGACCACATCGTTGCAGAGGAACCTCGATCTGCTGAGGAATCAAACAGCTCGGACTCAGAAGAGGATGATTTGCCAATTACAGAAATAAGAAGCTATTTTACAAGGCGCGATAAAGTAACGAAGTAAGTAAAAATCTAACAATAACAGTCAAGTTCAAAATATTCTCGCAGAAGATGCGGGCCCTCGTAGGAATGGTGTCGGGGTGACAACATTTACGCAAGCCTGGAGTTTATTCATTTCAGAGAATATTATTGAAAAAGTTGTTACATATACCAACGAAAAAAAAAGCACCATCGTATAGCAGAATACGTGACTGCAAACCAACAGATGCGGTGGAAATTCGAGCACTTTTCGAATTGTTGTAGTGGGATCCTTGAAGACATCACACGTCAATTTAGAAGATTTTATATTTTTACCTATTTTTCCTACTCAGTGAAAAGAATATAATTCATTGCGGTTTTATGATGCTACTACGCGACAAGCTCGTCGTACTCTCGACAAAGCTGCGCGAATATGAGAAATTTTAGATATGTTTCCACAAAACTGTCTATTGCCTTATTCAGTGGGAGAGAAAGTTGTAATTGATGAGATGACGATTGGCATTCGAGGAAAATGACCTTTCCGATAGTACTTGAAATATTTATTTGTTTTTTTTTTTTTTTTTATGTAACAGGAGGCAAACGGGCAGGAGGCTCACCTGATGTTAAGTGATACCGCCGCCCATGGACACTCACAATGCCAGAAGGCTCGCAAGTGCGTTGCCGGCCTTTCAGGAATTGGTACGCTCTTTTCTTGAAGGACCCTAAGTCGAATTGGTTCGGAAATACTTCTGTGGGCAGCTGGTTCCACATAGTGGTGGTGCGCGGCAAAAACTGCCTTAGAAAACGCTCTGTTGTGGAACGACGGACGTCGAGGTGATACGGATGGTATTTTGTATTTTGCCTTGACGTCCGATGATGAAACTCAGCTGCAGGTATTAGACCGAACAACTCCTCTGAACACTCTCCATGGTAAATGCGGTAGAAGATGCAGAGAGATCCCACATCTCTACGCAACGCCAAGGGATCAAGCCGCACGGAAAGTGACTGGTCGTCGACGATTCGAACCGCTCTTCGTTGAATACGGTCAAGTGGAAGGAGCTGGTACTGGGGAGCTCCCGCCCATAGGTGAGAGCAGTACTCCATATGGGGCCGAATTTGCGCTTTATATAGTTGCAAGCGGTGGCCCGGAGTGAAGTACCGTCTCGCCTTGCTGAGCACACCAAGCTTTTTGGAGGCTAATTTAGCCTTTCCTTCCAGATGACCGCGAAACTGAACGTTATTCGATATGTCAACGCCCAGTATTCCGATGCTAGCTGAGGCTTTAAGGAGAGTGTCTTCAAAGAAGGGAGTAGCGACAAAGGGAGTTTTTTTAGCGGAAAACGCGCATACTTGTGTCTTCTTGGGGTTAAATTGGACTAGATTTAGTCTACCCCAGTCCGAGACTCCACGTAGAAGAGTTTCGACTTCAGACACAAGTTTGTTCCGGTACTCATCGACAACAGCCCGAGAAATACCTGCCCGGCCAGTGTAAAAAGTATCCCCAGTGCTGTCGTCCGCATAGCAATGAATGTTGCTAAGCTGCAACATATCATTGATATGCAGAATAAACAGGGTCGGGGATAGGACACAGCCTTGTGGGACACCAGCATTCACAGGTTTCAGGTCGGAGCATGCTCCGTCGATGACGACTTTGATGCTCCGATCAGCGAGAAAGCTGGAAATCCAGTTGCATAATTTCTCAGGGAGCCCATAGGCTGGAAGCTTCGAGAGCAGTGCTCTGTGCCACACCCGATCGAAGGCTTTCGCTATGTCCAAACTTACCGCCAGCGCCTCCCCTTGGACTCAATTGCCTCTGCCCATCTATGTGTAAGGTATACAAGGAGGTCACCAGCCGAGCGACCACGACGGAAGCCGTACTGAGAATCGCTAATCAGCTGGTGGCCCTCTAGATACCTCAAGAGCTGGCTGTTAATAATGGTTTCCATTATTTTGGAGAACAAGGAGGTTATAGCTATTGGGCGATAGTTAGGACGGATCAGAGCGATCGCCTTTTTTAGGGATCGGATGTATCGAAGCGATCTTCCAGCACTTCGGAACAGTGCCGAGCGTGTAAAGGTACCGGAAAAGGCGCGTTAGGACCGGAGCCAACTCAGGAGCACAAGTACGCAGCACAATTGGAGGGATGCCATCAGGCCCGCTCGACTTATGGATGTCCAAGGAAGACAAAGCTTTACGGATAGCACGTTGCCGGAATATAACTTCGGGCATCGTAGTATCACACCGCAATAATGTCGGTGGTTCCTTCCCTTGATCATCCAAAGTGGAGTTCGACGCAAAGAGACAGCCTAGAAGATCGGCCTTCTCTTTCGCGGTATGGGCAAGTGAGTCATCCTCCCTATGCAGTGGTGGAATTGAGGGCTGACAGAAATTCCCTTGGACAGCTTTGGCAAGAGACCAGAAGGCTCGAGTTCCCGAAGGGAGGTGGGCCAATTTCTCACCAAATCTGGCAATGTGCTCTGACTTTGCTTTAGCGATTTCTCGCTTGAAGGACCTGGAGGCTGAATTGTATGCTTTTTTACGTTCGCCGATAGTCACATCACAGGATGTCAACGCTTCTGACCAGGCTTTAAAGCATTCACGCTTACGGCGCAAAGCCGCTTTGCAAGAACGCCTAAACCAAGGCTGGGACTTGCCACCGACCGGCACCGCAGAGAATGGAATAAAGAGTTCCATACCCTGCAGGACCACCTCGGCGAAAGAGTCAGCGACGGCATCTGGAGTACTCGACGAAAAGCAAATGGGCCCCCAAGGGTAGGACGCAAAAAGACCGCATCCCATCCCAATCTGCTGACTTATAGTGCCACACGCGGCGACAGCCCGTGAAGCTAGGCCGAAGAGGGCGCGTGAACGGCACAATGCTCCGGACCACACAATGATCTGATGAACCCAATGGCGGTTCAACAGAGACTTGGTAGTTCTCCGGATGTGAAGTCAGCAGAAGGTCCAACAAAGAGGGTTTATGACCATCCACATCTGGTATTCGCGTAATCGCAGGGACCATTTGCGTCAAGTCATAAGCCAAAGCAAAGTCGTGAAAGGATCTTCCCGCATGATCGGTGGTTTCTGAGCCGAGCCAATCGGCATGGTGGGCGTTAAAATCGCCAAGTATCACGATTTCAGCGGTAGGAACCCTTTCGAGCAGGGAATCTGTAGCCATTTGGATGTGCTCAATGAGTCGGTCAGTTTCGGTATTTCCGCTATGGGACCTATACAGGCATGCATAGAATCGCGGATGGTCATCGCAGTCTACGCGCAGCCAGAGGTTAGATAGGTCCCTTCCTTCCGCGAGCGCGTGTGGTACCCCCTGGGGTAGATTCTCTTTTTCTGCACCTTCATATTTCATGGGGTGGGTGGGCTCGGGAGTCTCTCTCACCGCACGAAACGCGAGTACAATAAGGTGAACTTATTGCATCACTTCACGCCGGTTTTCTGAGAGACAGTGGTACTGCCCCGGTCGTGCCTGCCCATTTGGCTGAAGCCCGAAGACAACAGCATGGCACTCCCACTAGGAAGGGGTTGACTGATTGCGCTGATGAAATAACCTCTGTCACAGGTTATTTCACCAGTGGGCGATGGGGTCGTCACGTCCCGACGCCGAAAAAATTTTCATACTTTTAATTACTTTTTTTGACAAATCAGACTTTAAAGACAATGATAATATATATGAGTACAAATAAATAAATAAATATTGAGTTATCAGTGCTTTCTTTCTCTTATTCATCCCATAGGTCTTTCCGGTTACACGCGCCCGCTTGAAGGTTAAATACAATATTTCTGTGTACTTTGAACTTTCCGTTATCTGTATTTTATGAAGTCTAGTTGTCAACCGATTGTTCATACAGTCATACTTCATATTTACTATTAATTATTAATTAAGTTCTGGCTTTTGTATTTTAAGAAAATTGTATTATTGCGATTTGGGACATTATTACTTCAACGGTTAAGCGCTTTAATAAATAAATGACCAAAAAATTATTTTGATATTTCACGACTAAATAATATTTTGGTTTGCTTTGATTTTCAAGTTGGTCGTAGCGTGTTTCTATAAAAATGGAAGGTATTCATGTTTTAACACAAGACTTTATAAATGTGCATATTACAAAATCTGATGATGAAAGTGTGCCTCCTATTGAACGGAGGTTTAACAAAGGTATAACAGTGTTGGATTTTAAGGTAAATAGTAATTTCCGTAATTGGTAATGTCTCTTAACAATGTTGAATTAACATCTTGTACATATAAAAATAAATTGTTACCACGATTTTTTTGTCGCTTTATAAAAAGCGTAACATTCTAAGGTGTCCATTGGTGGAAGTAAGCCTAAGTGATGCCGGCAAGTTTGCTCCCTGCCCAGTGGCGGATTTACCAGCAGGCTGAGTAGGCTGGAGCCTTTTTATTTATATTTTACAGATAGAACTGTTGTGCAACAAAATTTGATGATGACGTTTCCCTCTCACTTGTCTTTGTATATTGGAGTAGCAAACTTCCATATTCTAAAGTAAAACAGCTAGTGTACCTCCCAACCAGTAAATAATGTCTGCGTCCTCAGCTCACACTTTCTATAAGTGAAGAATGAAGACTAAAATTGCAGATAATGTATTTTCCTCTTCTCTCTTACCCCTATCAACCCATAAATGTCAGTCCTACTACTGGTTGCAGGCTGTAAAGTTTGCGTATAATTTTATGCTAAAATTCAAAACCAAAATTATGTTACATGCAATTTCAATTAAATTGTTGGATTGTAGAGGCAAGGTCTAACTTCACAGCCTTGAAAATTTGAAAACGGCCACTGTCCCTGCCCCATTAAAAGAAATACACACTAAAATATTTATAATTTGTGTACTTTTCTCTTTCTTGGTGTTAACTTATGTGTTATATTAAATAGCTTTCTTAAACACATTAAGTACTCAGTGATTCCTATCTGAAAAGTAATGTTATACTTAAAAACCAAAAATACTTACAAAATATTATTTTAATTTTCTATGTTGTTGCTAACTGTGATCACTACTGTGATCAATAATTTAGTACTACATATTTAAACAGGGAACAATAAGAATTCTGATTCTCTTAAGGTGAAAACCTTATAAGACATATTTTTGACTGTAGAATGTATTTTCTGATATAGACTAAACTTGAACTGGTTACTGGAGGAACAGCAAGTACCATGAAACTGAAAGTGTATGACAACAAGAACAACTTTTTATGTGATATTGACAATGATACCGCTTTGCTTGGGTCTTATCCAATTGATGATGGCATGAGGATCCATGTCATTGACAAGTTTGCCTTGGTTCATGATTTTGATCATACTGATAGTGCAGAGAGGTAAAAATATAACTACAATAATAATATTTCTTTTTTCAAATAATTAATGCAGCTATGTACATATAAACTAGAAAATGCATAGAATATTTAAGAATTTTCTACATTTTTAAATAATCCATTAAAGCTAATAATAATTTAAAATTTTATGATATAGTTATTTAGCTTTTATATAATAACATTAAATTTTAATTATACATATACAAATGTTTAAGGTTTAAGTTATCAGAAGAAGAATATGAAAAAAAGGGTGATACACTTAGATCATTTCTACAAAAAAATAAGCTTGGGAAATATAATGCAGAAGAGATGGCTAAGATGAAAGAGCAGCAGGAAAAAGAGTTAGAGGAAGAAGCAAAGTAAGTTTAATAAGTATTATTCTGTCATTCATATATCACCATGTATTTTTAGTAGAACATAGATAAAAAGTAAAGATTTTCAACATCTCATATATACATGCTAAGTTTAAAAAAAATTATATATATTTAAACTTAAAATTACTTTAAGTTTTCTGTTTATTAAAATACGCCTATATTTTACTTGTTTCATTACAACAAATAAATTGTAATAAACATCTGTTCACATATATAGTTTCAATTTATATCTGCAGAGTTAATATTAAGATATTAACAGGTTAGCTGAGTCAGTCTTAGTTGGTGCAAGGTGTGAGGTACGTGTACCATCCCAACCTTCCCGGAGAGCTACTGTTCGCTACAATGGGCCATTGGAAGGAACAAAAGGCTTGTGGATTGGTGTACAATATGATGAACCAAGAGGAAAGAATGATGGATCGTAAGTACTTTCTATAATTTGTAAAAGTAACTTGACAACCATCAAAAGGTTGTAGGTAATAAGTCTATAAAAGAATATGATTTCATAAAATAATTGTAGCCCTTACCTTAAATTTATATTACTGGTTGTGTAAAAGTATGTTTATTTTAATTGCAGAGTCAATGGTAAAAGATACTTCACTTGTCCACCCAAGTATGGAGGTTTTGTAAAACCAGGTTATGTTACTGTTGGAGACTTCCCCGAAGAGTCATTTGATCTAGAGGATGAAATATGATCTAAATCCTAATGTACCACTTAATGCTTCTTGATATTGATTTGCGTGCAAAGTAAATTATAATTGCTTATATCTAATCATCAATTGGATGGATTATTAGTAGGGAGGGACATAGTTTCTAACTAATACATAAAATGTATTAAGTGCGACAGTACCGCGCGCAAAGATGACGTCATTAACGTCCCTTGTACGAAGGTCATAAAGATTGAAGACTGAGGACTAAAAATATTTTTGTGTATGAATGCATTAATTATATTCATATTTTTTTTATTTTGGATCTGCTCTACTTGATTTTTTATTTTCAAGTAGTCTTTATATTTGTGACAAAAAAACTCAAGACAATATCGTGATTTATTTTTTAATATTAGTTTTTAGATCGATATTTTTATATTATTGCAAAAAAACAATGTAATTGAGCTTTTATATAGTTTTAATACCTATACAAATTCGTTTGTGAATAAAAAAATTGTTAATGCAGGAATAATTCTGCATAAATTAATCAAGGAGATTGAAAATTATCAAGCCACTACCCTAAATATATTGTAAAAAACTGCTTAGTACAACTAACGGGCTAATAAATTATAATTTTATTTATAAAAGTATTATCATTCTTGTCACTTCTTAACGTAGACAACCAAAAACAATTACTATCAATTTTCTTTAACGAAACATACCTTTTTTATCTTTGTCTGGTAATAAATAAGGCGCCTGAACGATAATTTCGCACGATCCTTGGCACGAAAAACATTGCAATGATTATATTACACAAATATTATTATTGTGTAATTTTTCTAGGAATAAAAGAAGTAAAAAACAATTATACGAAAAATATTTATTTAAAACTTTCGTCGTTTCAAAATCTCCGGCCGCCAATTAATAGGATGCGTTTCTTCAGAGGCCGTGTCGTCTTCTTTGTAGATTTTGATAGTTTTATCAGCTTCTGTTGTGATGAGACGGGAGCCTGAGTGATCAAAGGTCATTGCAAATATTCCTGCTTCAGAATCCATTGACCCTGGTTGTACAGCAGCCTGAAATAATTATAAATAGTAAAGAAATAATAATTAAGGAAATTTTAGGAGAAAGGGCGATATTACTATCAGAATACATGGGGCATTGTAGTATTACCCCAACATTTCAAATCTCTTTGTGTGCTAAAAGTTATAAAAATCTAATGCACAAACCCTGCCAGAGCCATAAAGAGAAAAAAAGTTATAAAAAAAATTGACAAAGCATTTGGCAACGACAAATATGTAAATACTTTGTTAAGGATTTCTTTTCAATAAGTTATTCGTCACATATACGAATTTTTAGTCAAAATAGACATTGTAATTCTGTAGTGTCACAAATTACATAAGGAAAAATATTAGATTGTATAATGTTTGATTGTGTTATGTTTTAATTATCTATAGTTAAAACATAACATCTTAATATATATGGAATATGGTTAAAAGGAGTATTAAGAATATCCATAGCGCAAAATCACCTGCATCATGAGCATACCCCACATACACACCTTCACGTACTTACCCTCACTTTTACACCATCAGACAACACAGCCAAATTAGGTATTATTTAGTTGAATGTATTGAACAATATTTTTTTTGTTTGTTTGATTTTGTAAATTTTTGAACCTTTTTGTAGTAAAATGTATTATGTATTCCATCTCTGGCTATATTTTCAGTGTAACTGTTTGTTATTATATACTGCTCAAAACAATTAGCGGAACAAGATTTTTCTCCTTTCTATTGCTTAAACTAAAATTAGATTTAAATTAACTTGTACGCTATTTTTTACCTTGTTAATTTGTTAATTACTACAATTAATAAAAAAATTCAATTTGTATTTTTTTTATTAAAAAAAAATTAAAATGTGCATTGTAGACGAAAAACTAATTGGTGATAAAAAGGTCCATCAAAGAAATATTCTTATATCGTTTGAATATTCGTCTTTAGTGACTTTCAGTGACTTTCGTAACGTGTGTGGCCTCCATGAGCCCTAATCACGGCTTGACAACGACGCGGCATGCTTCGTATGATCCTCCGAATATCTTCTTGTGGAATTCGCTCCCATTCTTCAATCAACGCTTCAGTGAACTGCTGCAGTGTTTGAGGTGCAATCGGACGCTTCCGGATGCGCCTGTCAAGCAAGTCCCAAATGTGTTCAATTGGATTTAGGTCAGGGCTCATGGAAGGCCACTCCATTACACGGATTTCCTGCTGTCGTAAGTAATCTGACGTGATGGCTGCAGTATGCGGCCTGGCATTATCTTGCATTAAAAGAAAATCTGGGCCCATACCATATGCTGCGGGCCAAACATGATCTTCGAGCACATTTTCAATGTAAGTTTGAGCACACAAGCGCCCGGGAACAACGACGAGATCTGTGCGCTCGTCCAAACTAACTCCGCCCCAAACCATCACAGAGCCACATCCAAATTTGTCATATTCCTGGACTGCTGCTGCACTGTATCGCTCGCTTGGGCGTCTGTAAACACGGAGACGACCGTCGCAACGTGTTAGGCGGAATCGTGATTCGTCAGTAAAAAGCACTGGCCTCCAATGTCGAAGTTGCCAATTAGCGTGATTTTGCGCGAACTGTCGGCGAGCTTGTCTATGTTGAATTGTTAGACGCACAGCCCGAACTGGTCGGCGTGATCTCAAATTGGCTTCCAACAACCTATTTCTTACCGTCTGGTCGGAAATTTCTACACCAGTAGCCGTCCTTAGTGTATTTTGTAGATCTCTTGCAGTTGTGGTGCGGTTACGTAAAGCACAGTTGACGATGTAGCGATCTTGCAAACGTGTAGTTTTTCTCTGTCGACCTTGACCACGCCTTCGTTAGTATTCTCCCGTCTCACGGTATCGCTTCCAAAGTCTGTAGATAACAGAAGGGCTACTCCTAGATCATTTCCTACATAACGCATAGTTCGACCCTCTTCAAGCAAAGCGATAGCTCGGGAGACATGCAATTCAGTCAGATCTGGCATTATGACCTAAACTCACTCGCTTCAGCCTTCAATGAATAACAATACTCAAAAGGCTCACTTCAATTTCTATTAATACTCAAAAGATTGAAAAAAACTACTTAAAATGTGTTTTCTGTGATTAGAAAGTAATGAAAATTCAAAGACGTCACTTTGTTTTTCGTCTACAATGCACATTTTAATTTTTTTTTAATAAAAAAAATACAAATTGTTTTTTTATTAATTGTAGTAATTAACAAATTAACAAGGTAAAAAATAGCGTACAAGTTAATTTAAATCTAATTTTAGTTTAAGCAATAGAAAGGAGAAAAATCTTGTTCCGCTAATTGTTTTGAGCAGTATATATAATTTATGTTAGCTGTATGATTACGAAATATATAAATTACACGTCACGTTGTTTGTCCGCTATTTACTCCTAAACTACTTAACCGATTTCAACCAAATTTACCCACCGTGTATTGATCTAACTTAAAAGATAGGATAGCTTACATATATATATAATTCTACTGTACGTGTGTATGTCACTGAACTCCTCTTAAACGGCTGGATCGATTTTAATGATTTTTTTTGTGTGCGTTTGGGTGGAGTCCTGGATGGTTTATCCTAATCGCTTAAAATATAATGCAGGACAACCTCTGTGGGGTCCGCAAGTATTATTATGCATATATAGTAAATAAATGTGACAGGCACAGAAGGTTGATCATCTACTTGCCAATTAAGAAAAGTTATCACAGAAATTTGAGGCCAAGGGTTATAGAATCACTTTCTTTTTCTTACTTGCAATCGTTGGAAGTTATAGCCGGTTCTCCAATCCCACAAATACATGGTCCCGTTATCGCCTCCACTCACTAAGACGCCTTCAGGGTTGACTGCCATACAATTAACGATGGCATTATGCCCGGACAGGTTTTGAATAAACTTTCCTTCTGGGCATTTCCATTGTTTTATATTATCTGGTGAAGCTGATGCAAACGTGTTCAATGTAGGGTGTATGACTATAGAACGGACAGATTTTTTATGATTTGTAAGTGTGCAGAGGGATTTTCCAGCTGCTAAGTCCCAGAGGCGAATTGTCGAGTCATGGGAGCCAGTAATGATCTGAAACACAATAAGTTAGTTAAACATTAAATAAACAGATATATTCAGTATTGCTACATATAAAAATGTTTCATATAATAAGTGAAAAGTCCAATATCCATAGCGTAAAATGGGCCGAGAGTTGAATCCTGTCCATTTTTTATTTTGATTTTCTAAGTCATCCAAAAGGAAATGTTTGATGATTTAAGAATAGCTGATTTAGACTGCTGGTAAAGAGAACAACTAAAAGTTTGTCTAAGCTGGAGCGTTCAAGTATTATAGACCACAAGCCCATGAACAAAAAATACCTGTGAAATGACCCAACGTGAATAACGCTTAGAAGGCTGTTACTATATCTGAAAATAACTCTATGCACTATGCCGTCATTTCTGAGCGGTACATGTGAGTACGTGAGTGAATGGAATTTCTCAGGTACCAATGAGGAATTTCGACTAATTATTAATTAATCGAAATTCTTAGGTCTTCTAAGCGTTATTCACGTTGGGTCATTTCGCAGGTATTTTTTGTTCATGGGCTTGTGGTCTATTACGTCACGCAAGTTTTGGAGATTCTTGACCCCCCTACCTCATGTAACGCACCGTAACGTTTTTCTGTACCCAATAGTAAAATGTTTCGTGACCACCGAGTGACCATTATATAGAAAGTTACCATTATAAAGTACTGGAATGTCGAAAATAATATTAACAATAACGCGTAATTCAATATCAGCCAAAAATCGTAACGTTTTACAAGAGGACCCCCCCCCCAAATTCGTTACATAATACTTGAACGCTCCCTAAACAGAGAGTACAGATCATTATCAATGCATTGTATTTGTGTTTTAAACAGGGAGCACCACTTTAAGGGGGATTGTTAAGTGACAACGCCGCCCATGGTCGACCAGAAGGCTTGCTCGGCCATTCAGGAAACGGTACGCTCTCTCGTTGAAGGACCTTAAGTATAAATTACCTGTGGTTCAGAAGCTTGACACACAAGCGAGGCTACAGTATCCGTGTGTCCAGTAAGTGTGTGTACATTGGCCTTCGTCCGCATGTCCCAAACACGGGCTGTGCCATCCCGACCAGCTGATAGCAGTACGTCGATAGTCGGATGGAGCGCTAATGTGTACACGGCCGATAGATGGCCGTGGTAGTGACGTATTACCTAAATAGATACGCTGTTAAAATGTGTAAAGAGAACCAGCGTAGCGGTTATGCAAACTAAAATAATTTCTTGTTTTCTTCATGTCATTTACCCACAAAAATTTGTCATATTAAGAATCAAGCTGATTACTGTCAAACTATAATGATGTAATTGTTATCAACATAAGAGGAAAGGAAATTTAACACTTACAACATCCCATGATGTTTCTCTTACTGCAAGAGCTCAATTCATGAATAGTCATGATTTTGATAATAAATATAAGAATACATTCTTCAAAAACAACCTTAACAGCCCGTTCCCACTAGTCGTAAGTCGCATAAGACTAAAAGTCGAAAGTCTGATGTCCCTGTTCACACTGCGTCGCGAGTCGTATAGGTCGTAGTTTCGCGCCATTCGGAATAAAACACGAATGGAGTGAGCAAGCAATGTGTAGCGATCTAGGAAGCGGGGCGGGGAGAGAGGTAACAACGCGCTCGAGTCGATTAGACGCACGACTAGTGTGAACAGCAACAAGCAGGCACCTATGCGAGCACGATTCGACGCGACTTTTAGTCTTAAAACGGGCGCTGGCCCGTCGGATGGTTTTTTGAGTCGTATTAGACTAAAAGTCGCGTCTCATCTAATGTGAACAGCTCCATATAAAGTGTATGGTGACCAGAGCATTCGACTTTTAGTCTTATGCGACTTACGACTAGTGGGAACGGGCTGTAACTCTATCTTTGGTATATGTAACGACTACAAAGTTTCAATAAGCGTGTGTCAGACACACAAGCACTAAAAAACATCTATTCTATGCAATCCATACCTTATTATATTCCAGATCCCAACATTTAACTTGTCTGTCCTCTCCACAGCTGAAAAGATATGGGTGCCTCGCTGACACTTCAAGACCTAAAGAAAAATTTCAATAAAAAACTACAAAATCAAGTGAGTAAAGGAAAAGTGACATAGTTAAACTGAAAAGCAGAAACATTTACTCTGCTTAAAAAATATTTTGCTAAGATTGATGTGGCTTAATCGCTACAAATCCTATTGGCAACCTTGTATTAAAATGCAAGGAAACAAACCTCTAACAGTACTGACATGTCCAGTCAGTGATACCTTCAATTTTCCACTTGCTAAATCCCAAATCTTTATCACTCTGTCTGCGGCTCCTGTAAATACAATGCCACAATCAAAACACTATATTGTATAATTTTGAGGTGGACACATTATAGCATCATATTTTATATACATGTATAATGTATATTATATAACACAAAAAGAAGTATATTTAACACAGAATGCTAGTGAGATTATATTTTGAATAGTATGTGTATATTGATTTGGAAGTACTAACTGTGCGTCTTGGAGGTTATTGTAATGTTCTAAAAGACATTCATGTAAATTGTAAAGACATACACTACATACCTGTAGCAAACCATTCATTTCCTGGTTCAACAGCAACACATCTAACCCACCCTAAGTGTCCTGAAATAACTCTGCAAAGTTTCCATGGAGCATGCCATTTCGGTTTTGGCATTACTGGTGCTTTACGGGGCAATGGAGTAATAGCTGTGCTTGTTGGGGCGGCAGGTCCTGTGTATGGCAACATTGCTCCATCTGATGCTAGGGCTGCTGATTCTGCTATTTCTACAAAGGTAATTTTTTTCTTAAGACTTTTAAAATTCCTAATTTCTCTTTTCTAAGAGGCCCAAAATAGGTTGTGATAGTGAAAAATATAGGCCTTACGTGGCTATAGTGGCGTATTGATGCATTGATGACAATGAAGTGTGTATTTTTATTCGGTTTTTTGTTCAGTGTTTTACTAAACCCAGACAATTAATCACCAGTAATGTTGCTTACATGTTTTTTATTTGTTGTAACTATCTAGGCTAAATTAATTTTATATTTTAATATCTTACATAATAGGAAACAAAAATATACAAATGATTCATGCAAAAAACTTTAATTTTTTATTAAAATACCTGTATCATGTGGGGTTTCTGGTCGACTCATTGCTTCCCTTTCTTTCATAGCCTGTGCCTTCTGTACCGCAGACATTACAAGCCCATAACTATCTCTACTCTTGATAACTTTCAAAATATTTTCACTGTAATAAAAAAGCCATTCGAGCCAACATTTAAATTAGATATTTAATGTTAGTAAGATTATTTGAATTATGTTTTCTATAGAAGAAAATTAATACAAAGATATACCAATCATGAATATAAATTAAAACCACTAAATTATAATATTATTAGGGAAATAGACACTAAAATATATAATAGTTAGTAGTTAGTTATAACCTACGGAGTCAAAATAAGAACAATACCAAAAGTACTAACGCTTTATCATCAATTGGTGGAAGCATTCCTTGGTTTGAGAGAAACATGTCATGAGATCGTTTTAAGGATCTAAACACTAAAGTGTGTACCGAATGTTTTATAACGTCGTCACTCATTTTGAGCTTAAAATATTTTTAGTTTATAAAAAGCAAAAAGAGTAAAGACCACACATAAAAAGTTTTTCTTTGGTTGTTCTTTAAGTGTACAAAAATGAATCAATTTATTTTCAATTAATATAATATGTTTTTGAATAACATTGATATAATAAACACAATCCGATATTTCAGTATTTAATTTCTTAAACAGAATTATCACAGAGCAAAAATTTTGAATGAAATTTGTCACTAGTCATCAATAGTCTGTCATTACCACAGAGAAAGTAAAGTAGTATCACGAACCGATTATAATATACAAGACGTATTGGCTATAAAAGTGGTGTTTCTATTCTCTAACTAATCCCGAATAAGATAATTATTTTTTTCTAAGCACATTCGAGGTACAAGTCAAGAGACATAAATTGTTGAAGTGAAACTTTTTTATCGAGGTTGGAAAAAAATTTAGGGTAACATTTTTTCGTTACGCGTCACATTTTTCGGTTACGCGCCATGTTGCTTTTTGAAGTCAAACTTCTTTATCGGCGTTGGAATGAAACTTCTTTATCGACGTATGGGAGAAATTTTGTAGCAAATCGTCACGTTTTTCAATGATAGTAATAATTCTATTACAATTAATGAAATTCTATAATAATCTTCGTAGTAATAAGGTAATATAACATGTATAGACATGAAATATTTGTATTCATGTCTATGATAATAAAAGCCTTTTGTTAAACTTTATCTAATTTAACGAATTTCTGTAAAGTTGCATATAGGTAATAGATCATTCTTCGAAAAATAAGATCATAAAGAAGTTTCACTTCTTACGTGTGTACACCTAGTACACGCACAATTTATTTATTTGATTGGCTAACCGCTAAATTGGAGCTTATATCTTCATGGCGAATTAAATTGTCTATTAATATATACGTATATGAAATGATAAATAATTCCAACAGTTTTGTTGTTCGACACCGCAACTTCACTTGACGGAAATAAAAACACATACGCTACTCCGCCATTCGAGTTGATTGGCATATTAAAGTAAGCGGGAAAAATATTATCTATAAGCCGAACAGACCGATGACAAGGGCAAAAAATATATCTTTGGTCTCATAATGTGCCACATTAAATTTAACTGTAGTGTGTTTCAATGTCGTGATAACATGTTCTTCGGTTTTATAAGAATTTATATACATTTTGGTCCAGTAAAACATACTTTATTAAAGTGGTTAAAGTTTATTAAAAATCACTATTTAATCTTAATTAGCATCGGAGTAAAAATAAATAAGTACCTGGCTATTTACACAATATTTATTCACATATGACTAGTTACACGTTTAAATATTATTTGTTCTTACAACAGTCAAATTAAATTATTTGTTACTAGATACCTACTAACTTAGCCAGCGTGACTAGTTAAAAATTAGACTAGGGTGACAACTTACATTAATTATTATCTAATGATATCTATATAACAGAAACTATAATGTTGCCGATGCTGGTTGGGTCCTTTACGCTAGCAAGATCCATTTATATTCAGCAGCGTTCAAAATGCCTATTTAAAGTGTTTTAATAATTGCTATTTATTGTTGTTGTTGATGAATGTGTTGTAATTTTGAATTATATAATACATACTTATTAATTTACATATAGTCTTATGAATAACGAAAGTATTTTTTCGCTAGACAATCGAAATTATTAAATTATCTAATGATAACTAAATACAAATATTTTCGCCAAAGAAGTGGTCATTATGATTTTTATATTTAAGAGAAGTGAGAAATACGAGGTGAAAGTCATTTAGACAAGTCTATCAACATTAGAATCGATTGACCATTCATAGTCGATATCGGTTGAATCGGCGACGGAAAAGACCGCGCCATTTTCGGTTCAGATAGCCGATTTTTCAGAGTTATTTGCATCACTCACACGACGGGAATGTGGCGGGCGTCTTAGCGTTCTTGGCTGTAAATTTAATGGCGGCAAATTGGGTCTTTCAATTCTGGTCGGAGATGAAACTAGTGGTCTATTTCCCCGACGGAGTGTATCCATACCATTCCTGAAGTATTCTTCGGTTCTATCGGAATAACTTTCAATTAATGGAGCAGGGTCTTCATACTCGACGGTGTAATGTCTAGTGATGGCTAAATCTTCTGGCGGTCCAAGTTTGTATAGAGGTGGTTCGACACATTCATAATGATGGTCCTCAGTTTCATCGTGTGGGTAAGTATCGGCGACGAAGTGTCGAGTTCCTCTTGGCGTGAGGGCAGCCCACAATACTCGGGAGTCAAGGGCAGCACTACCATAGAGCGCATTGGATCCGCTTGTTTTACCCGTTCCGCTTTTACAGCCACCGCGTGCTCTGTTTAGAAATAAGGATTTTAAAAACAGGTTTTAATTAAAATTATTTTATACACACAAACTGGTTACGAAATACGACGACCACTACCAACTTATCTTTCCAAATTACATATTTTTCGAAATGGACAACTTAGAAAAGATCTTTAAAGAATGTTTTGCTTACACTAAAAATCTTAGCAGAATGTCTTAAAGAACATACAGCTGAACTTACTCTCTACATTTCAGTAAAAAAATTGCCAAAACGGCAGCAATACAGAGCACTGCAATACAGCAAGTAATAAGCACCAGGAACCATGTGTCGTCAGATGCAGCTGGTTCTGAAAAAGAATCACTAAAATTATTGATGTTAAAATAGTGTCATTGGTATATTGCTTTTACAATTTTTTTCATTGAAACAATACAGTCTCCCTACGTCACATTCATCTATTAAATGCATTAATATAATTTTTAAATAAAAACATACCATGTCGTGGTAACTCGTGGTACTCAACACCGGGAAACAATGCGTTGTCTTCGTTATTGAGCAGTGGGGGACACTTCGAAGCCCTGCAGGGTGGCGTCAAGTTGGCCATGTTGGCGAGGAAGGCCGGTAGAGGCGGTGGGGGCATATGCATGATTGAATCCGGCGGAGGGCCAAGGGACAGACATTCTGCCCCACACGACATCCTATAGGATAAATAATAATAGTAGATATTAGGATAGTACATGAGCTGGAGGCTCATCTGAGTTCTCCCGATCATTAATACATAAAATATTATTTGTTTTCTGTACGCGTTACTGGACTTACTGCTTTATAGTTAAAGCCTTCCCTTATGCGATATTTTGTTTTGCTTCCATTGCTATAACTGTTGTCACCGCTCTTTTCTATCATATAACCTATCTTTTTACCAAGAGTTTTAAAAACGTTAGTATTTATAAATCAATTTATTATAATTAACACTCAGAATTAAAAGGTAAAAACCTCTTGTTTTAGTCGAAAGTAACTAGGATTTAATTTTAAAATGTAATATTTTTAATTTTCTTTCCTATTTTTTTCTAGATATAAGGTTGCCAATTACCATATATTTATGGTGTAATAAAAAATCTAAAAGCTTTTTTGTTGCAAATCCTTGAGTCAATTACAGCCCAGTTGAATAACGAGCAAATTAAGCACATATTTAATTATATTCCTCTGATATTTTATTAGGCCTGAAATAATACTAATGACTAAAGTAATAAAATAACTTACATTTGTAGTATTTTCTAATTTTTACACAAAGCACTATGACGCTGTACTTATTTTGTAACACTTGAATTTTGGTCCATGAGGGATGAGAGCGCATGCGCTAATACCTACCAAGTATACAGATTACAAGAATCGTAGTACGAAAAATAAGTAAACACACTTCCAATTCCTTCTTAATATAACGTACTAAAATGAAAGCCCTTCCGAACAAGCAATGGATTTGTACAAGCTCAAAAAGGTCTATGATGATAATGTTTCAATTGTATTTTAGTACGGGGTTAATTATTGATCCGCGCAAGCGCGGGAAGTTGTTTCTCTCCCTTATAGAGGGGTGAAACGAAGCTTATTTACCGTTCGCCGTCCCTTTCTTATTTAGGAGTCTAGTGTATCGTATGAAAAGGATACCAAATGGCGTCTATTTAATTGTAAGTAAAATATGAGTACTGTTTCTTACATATTTTAATAATTTAAATATAAGTCCTAAACTTATAGTGGTTTCAAGTCCATTATTTCGATAAAACGATAATCCTTATTTATTTTACATATTTTTTAATTAAGTTAATTTTATCTTATATACTGCTCAAAACAATTAGCGGAACAAGATTTTTCTCCTTTCTATTGCTTAAACTAAAATTAGATTTAAATTAACTTGTACGCTATTTTTTACCTTGTTAATTTGTTAATTACTACAATTAATAAAAAAAATCAATTTGTATTTT